GCCGCCGCGGCCCGCACAGGGACCGGGGGGGCGGAGCGAGGGGCAGCGAGGCCGAGGCTGGCCGCCCCGCGGCCTGTCAGGGTTCTCGGAGGCTGCGTCCCCCTCCTGCGGGGAAGGGGCACCGCGAGCGCCCCGGAGCTCTCGGTGAGTGCGTGTGGCTTTTCCTGGAGCGGGCTCGGGACCGCCACTGCCCTTCGGGTCGGGCAGGGCAGCCCCGGCCGGGCTCCCCCTCTCCGGTGGAGAGTTGGCCGTCGCCGCTCGGTCTGCGAGTCCTGCGGCGGGCTGGGCGGGTACTCCCCGCCCAAGGCTCTGCCGTGCCTGGCGGGACTGTGGAGTTTGTGCTCCTCGACGCTCCGTCTGTCGGGCTGTGGCCCTTTTCCCTGTCCCCGCTGTCTCCGGTCTCGTACGTGGCAGCGATTTTCACACACCGGCAAGCAGGTCGTGACAGGTCCAGCCCCTGAGGTTGCTTTTCCTGCCGGCTGGTTCCTGTGTGTTTTCAGCTCCGCTTTACGCGATGGCATTTGCAATCGTATTTCCCTCAGTCAGCTCTTTCCAAAAAGACCTTTACGCCTTTCAGCCTTTCTAAAGAGGCGATCTGTTGAGATCTCTCGTGAACTGTTGTGCTGTCGTGGCTGTTCCTGCAGCTTGCTGGGGGAGTGCGGTGCTAGCCTTAGGGACATTGCCACAGCCGAGCTTGGGCTGCACATTCGGACAGTAAGTGCTTCCTGCGCTGGGTTGACTTCTCGGTAAATGCTTGGGTTTCAGTGGTCGGGTCATCTCATCCCGTAACACCTGAAGATGGATTTCAGAGCAGAACTAGTCTGTTCTACTAGCAGAACTAGGCTATCTTCGAAAGTCCTCTGACAGAGGTTACAATTGTGCAGACTGAAAACTAACACAGATTAATTTCTTGTCGCGTATTTATTATTTAACAGGCTTTTTTATTCTTTCACAGCAAATACTTGTGTGTGTAGGTTCTTCTGAATTTTAGGAGACGTTTTATTAGTGACATAATGTTCTAGAGTTTAATTTGCATGTGTCTTTTCCTTTTTGTTTTTAGATATTTAATCCACTCACAGTAATTTAATCAACCAATATTTTGAATAAAAAGGAAAAAATGATGTCAAGACAGGCCTTTCTCTGCAGTTTGGGATCTCTGTATTTGTCCCTTCTGTTTGTATTTCTTCTAATGGATGTTTATGCAAGGCCTGCAAATAATTCGGCCCTCAAAGAAAAGCCAGCTGACAGTAAAGATGAGAATGAGATCTTGCCCCCAGATCACTTGAATGGGGTCAAAATGGAGATGGATGGACATCTTAACAAAGAATTTCATCAAGAAGTTTTTCTAGGAAAAGAGATGGAAGAGTTTGAGGAAGACTCAGAACCCAGGAAAAATAGGAAGAAGCTCATGGTCATCTTTTCAAAGTAAGTTATGTACATTGCCAAGAACAGTGCAGCCTCTTTCTCTGATCTTCAGAGTAAAATTTGCAAATTTTTCTGTAATATTTAAAAATTGTAATGATGAGGGGGAAAGCATCATACTATAAGCACTGTGTTCATGTTATTAAGGTATTAACATACCCGTATAAACCGTTCTTAGGAGTGAGAATGCATGTGTTGAGAGTCATGATCAGTATACAGGATTGGTGCTGTGGTCTAGTAAAATTTATGACAAAACGCATTGTGTCTATGCAAAAAAACCCTACATGGCCTCTCGCGGTATGAAAATTAATATTACTTTTTCCTGGTTTCCTGGCTCAATGAATAATTAATCACACTTGTGTTCCTTGGTGGTAGGATGCCCATGCAATGAATTGGGAGGGTGGGAGTTTGTTCCAGTTTTGTTCTAGCAGTAGTATGCTCTATTGCTTTGCTGTAAGTTTGGTTTCAATTGGCAATCTAAGTTTCTTATTTATTGTTTGGTCTTATATTCCATATGGATCTTGTCAGTGTTTTTCCTCTGCAGTTATTTGCAGAAGTCACAATAGAAACAAATACAAGACAATAGTAAAGGTAGAAGGGAAGAAAAGGGACAGACAGGCAATGGGGTAAGATTGTGGTAAACAAACTGACAGTTGCTTTCTGTTCATAAAACTTTCTAGTAGATGCTCAGTGTCTAAAATTTGAGTGTTTCAAATGAAATACATGAAGGTTAAAAATAATTATGCCTAACTGCACATACCAAGAATTCAGAAATCGGCATGACAGCTTCTAGCATTAAGTTAGCTTTCTTCATAAAATTAAACTAAACAAAACGTTTAGTTCCTCAGAATTTAGAAGAAAAGAGAATGAGAATGAAACGTGAGAATAGAAAGATTAATTTTTTCTTTTGTAGCCTTCTTGAAAACTTCATCTACCTCTTTACTTGGTGTAAAAGTATTAACTTTACTTTTAGACATTAAAGCATTTTTCCTTTTATAAAGCACTTGTGCTGGATAAGGTTTGTGGCAGCTAATAAACTATCAGATGTTTGGAGGTCAGTAAACATAATGGAAATCAAAATCAGTATATACTTTTAGACACTAGGTGGCAGAATTGGCTTTATTTGCGTTTTTGCAATGGAGGATTAATTTTATGAGAACAGCTTAAATTGCATTGGTGCTCTTAATGCTGATGATGGTGTGGGGATGCGCATATACTTGAGAGAAAATGAGAAGGCTTAACAAAGCTTTTTTTTTTGCAAACTTCTCCTTAACAGGGAAAAAATATCAGTAATAACATTGGATTTTTTTTTCTGTTTTTCTGAGTAAAGGTAGCTAAAGCAAATAGGCAAAGCAGAGTGCCTTTTTCATTTAGAGTAGAATCCTTTATTACTATGGCTGCTATTCAGACCACTAACTTCATGGGCAGGATGTATACAAATATTAAGATTATGCTTAGAAGGTTTCACTTTCTTTATTGCTATATGTTTATTGGGAAACATTCACGGTGGTTAGTAAATTGTCATTCACAAATTGCAAACTCTGTTCATTTCTGCCTGTTTGTTATGTTGTCTTAGGAAGCTTAAAGCAATTGGATATTGGATCAGCTTCACTCAGATACTTACTTAAAATTACATTCCATCAGATGATCATGCTAACTTCATGGGCAGGATGTATACAAATATTAAGATTATGCTTAGAAGGTTTCACTTTCTTTATTGCTATATGTTTATTGGAAACATTCAACGGTGGTTAGTAAATTGTCATTCACAAATTGCAAACTCTGTTCATTTCTGCCTGTTTGTTATGAAAGAGGTTGTCTTAGGAAGCTTAAAGCAATTGGATTCAAGATCAGCTTCACTCAGATACTTACTTAAAATTACATTCCATCAGATGATCAGATTAGAAAATGTAGAAAAGCATTCTGAGGAATTTGGTTGCTTTCTAGACATACTTTTAAAGGCTGAGTGAAAAGAGAAATACTGTGAACTTCTGTGAAAAGCTAGTAAGTCACAGGCTTCCAGATGCTTTGGAAATATTTTCTTTGAAGACATAAAGAAAACATGTAATGTGGTTTTAATTAATAAAAGCTGAGATTCTACAGCATGCCAGTATGATATAAAGTAGTCAATTCAAAGCATAAATTATTGTCTAATAGGATTACTGAAAATAAAGTTGAAACATGGAAGAAAAGCTCCTCAAACCATGTTTTTCTA